CGGGGGCAGCTGTGGTGCCGGGGCCGGCGGGTCTTCCCGGACGACAAGCTGCTGCTCTCTCCAGGCCAGGGAGGGGTCCTCCCGTGGGAGACAGGAAAGAGGTCAGCAAGGTCTCCTCACGCCCGCTGACTTTGAGGTGCCCTGAACTCGGAACGCCAGCGCGCCAGACCGGCGTATTGCGGGGCGGCACATGCTTGACTCCTTCACAGACGTGCAGACCCAATGGCCTCGTCAGGTACACCGTGCATGCAGAAGTGCGAACACCCCGAGCGGACAGCCCCTGTGTCCCCATGCCCAGCCTCGCCTGAGCAGCGCGTCGGCGGCTGTCTGGGCTGTGCCGTGGTTGGCGACGCCCCAGCCTCGTCCGGAGCCACAGCCCAGTCTCGTGTCAGCTGCGGCGACTCTGCTCCTGCGCCTTCTGCACTCCGGGACCCAGGCCAAGGGGCCGCCGCTGTCTGGAACGGGCCGTTCTCACGGAGGGAGGACAGCAGGAGACACGGAGAAGCCGTGCAGTGGCTCTGACGCCTGTGGTGCACCTGCACTGTGGAAGTGGGCGGAGTGCCTCAGGGACTGCTCCATAAACGCTGTGCTTGGGAGAATGAATGGAGGAATGTGGAAGAAGAAATGAGTGATGAAACAATGTGAAACAATGACTGAATGAATGAGTGGGTGACTGAATGGATGGATGAGTGGATGGATGGATGGGTTGGTGGATGGACGGATGGATGGATGGGTGGGTGGATGGATGGGTGGATGGATGCGTGGATGGATGAATGGATGTATGGTTGGATGAATGGGTGGGTGACTGAATGGATGGATGAGTGGATGGATGGATGGGTGGGTGGATGGGTGGGTGGATGGATGGATGGGTGGATGGACGGGTGGATGGATGGGTGGGTGTATGGATGGGTGGATGGATGCGTGGATGGATGAATGGATGTATGGTTGGATGAATGGGTGGGTGACTGAATGGATGGATGAGTGGATGAATGAGTGAATGAATCAATGGGTGAGCAAAGGAATGAGTGGGTGACTGGATGGATGGATGGGTGGGTGGGTGGATGGATGGGTGGATGGATGGATGGGCGGGTGGATGGATGTGTGGTTGGATGGATGGGTGGATGGATGGATGGGCGGGTGGATGGATGTGTGGTTGGATGGATGGATGGATGGGTGGGTGTATGGATGGGTGGATGGATAGATGGGTGGGTGGACGGGCGGGTGGATGGATGTGTGGTTGGATGAATGAGTGGATGGATTGGTGGATGGGTGAGTGGATGGGTGGGTGAGTGGATGGATGGGTGAGTGAATGGATGGATGGGTGAATGGATGGATGGATGGGTGAGCAAATGAACAAGTGGGTGAGCAAATGAGACAGGAAGGCTCGCATGAGAGGAGCTTCCCATCAGATGGTGAATGTTGACCACATGCCCACACAACACTTGACTTCATCTGTCCGACACTTTCTTTGTAAAATTAAATCCAACAACCACATTAAATACAAAAGAATGGCAACGTAGAGCAATCTTTCTAATTTCCATAATGACGATTCAGTGGAAAAACATGATGACGGTCTATATTTTCCAAACCAAACTATTTGTTCTTGCAGGCAGGAAGTCGCCCTGCCACCGTGATGCTCCCTCCTCTAAAAGTTCCCCTTCTTCATCACAGCTTCCTGTGTCTGCGGAGGAAACTTGGAGACACCTGCCTGGGCGCGTCTCTAGCAGAGCCTGGTGTGCTCGAGCAAGAGCCACCAGCTGGGGAGCGCGGCTTTTGTCATCAACTTTACACACTCCTTAAGTGCGAACCTGTGACATCTCAGAATACTCCTATTTTATTTCTCACTTTTCTAGGTGAACTTCTTATTTAGAGGTGATTCCCAGGCAGCTGTTAAGAGATGATGCAGAAAGACTGCAGGTCCCTTTACCTGTTTCCCTTGATGGCACCGTCCAACGTCTCACCAATCTGTGGTGCAGGACATCGATCGGATACAGTCCAGATGGAGGACATTTCCATCGCCGCGCCGCGTCGCAGCCACGCCCCATACGCGCTCAGCA